GTGTTATTTCGGTAGATTTTGCATGTGAGTTTTTGGAAATTGTTTGATTGGGCCATACGCTCACTGGCCTCTGGAATACCGACATGCCGGAGGAAATCGGTGGGTTTCCGTTTGCACGCTGGTCCATAGTACCATATCCTCACGGTCAATGAGCCTCGTCCATGAAATCATTCGGATACCCAATGGCTCTGCAGTCTCAGCACCCGGGCTCCAGAAAGTGCTCGGTAATCGAAAGCTTTACTCCATATAACAGGAAAACCGACCAATTATCCTTGACAACTTAACAGAAACTCTTGCCACTGCCTTTGCCCCCGTAACTCCCCAAACATGGCATGCATCATTCTGAAACGTTTTGGGCACTGCAACGTATAAACTCTTGTCTTCTTCTTTTATCTCTCTCTCTCATTCTCGCGTTGTTCGCCTTATTACGTTTCTCGTTTCTGACATATGTGTTATGTCTGTTCACGTCTCCAATATTCCTTCTCCTCGTCCGTTTGATCCATATCATTATGACGACATCCCAGAGCCTAACGACAAGATTTGCACAGTCCAGGGCCGCACCACAGGGTTACCTGGGCCGACTGGAAAGCCTTCATGCAAAAGATCACACGAGCTCGTCTGCCGGAAGACTTGGATTGGAAGGTGCGCGACACCAGGCATTTCGACCCGTGCTTCATCCACCTGGTTCTTGCCATCGAGCCACTCGACGTCCCTTCGGCAAAAGAACTGATCGGTCGGTCCCTTGTGCGAATGGCCTCCCTGGGTCCCACGTACAAGTCTATCATATGCTAACCGTTGTTCATCCCTTCTCCCAGCCTGGGCTCAAAAGCGCAACATGCGCATGCTCGGAAGAAAATCCCTGGTGTCGCGCACCTTCCAATCCAAGTCTTCCGGCAGACGAGCTCTTTTGACCTCTTGCATGAAAGCGTTCCAGTCGGCCCGATCTGGCCATCTCGTATCTGGGCGAGCGCTACGCCCATTTCTATGGCCTGGGCGGTGCAGTTCGCTGCAAGTGGCCTGTTGTTCCTGCACAGGGTGCCTGTGATCAAGAGATTATGGGGGTCCTGTGCGTTCATTGAAGCGAACTTGCTTTGAAGATGTAGAGGGAGCATGCAAGACTTGGTGGTGGACGATCCCTAGTAGTTTTCTGATGTCGAGGACTGCACAAGGTCACGTCTACGGAGAAGATAATTCGCTTGTCGTCGGGGAACTCCTGGATAAGAGATCCTTGGGGTACCACCGTCTTCTGCCTTGAAGCTCTGCGTGCCATGTGGGGCAACAACGGTACATAGAGGTCAACGTGGGGCCTCATCCGTGAGACGGGGAAAGATGGGGAATACACGCAGAGTCAGGAAGTTTGACAATGCGATCGAGTCCTTCCTTGATAAGAAAGGTCGAAAGAAGTCTCCCAAGGCGTCCGTAACCGTGGAATCCGACACCTTTTTCCGAAAAAAACCCGGTAGAGCGATCCTGAGGCGCGCGACGGTGCATTGCGTGAAGTAACGATCGATGGAAGGCGAGCGATGACCCGGTAGTCGGTCTCGACTGCGTCAACGGACGTGATGCAACTCGTTTGGAGACGGCAGAGTTGCACTTGGTCGGCCCTGTCTTGGATCTGCCCGCGGCAGAAGACAACCCTGACCTCATGATTTAGCGCGATCAGACGGTCCCGAATCTATGGCCCTCCGCGCCAGGACCTTAATCTACGACGTACATTGGTACAAATGCTGCAATTTGTCCGCTGCTGGTTAGTAAGGCTTCGCAGTTGACTCACCTCACCGGTAGAGCGACCAAGTGTTTCGGTAGCCATGCCTCGTCGTCCCTGTTTTGCTAGCTTTCCGGGGACGGATGAATTGTTCATGCACCTCGCTCACCACTTCTTGTTACATGTCAAGCAGTACAATGACAAGATGCGGACCGGAAGGATCGGAGTTCAGTTGAAGACTTCGGAAGTGGACATTGAAAAGACGAAGGCGCATTTGTGTGACTAAACGTCTCGAGGCGGGGTGGTGACAGTTACTTCAGGACCTTGCAGGTTGCACACTACCGTCGTCCTGTCGCAGTATCAGTTGTTCTTCCTTTGTACACTGTGCTCATGTTTTTCACGTCCCGTGCTTTGCCTGCTTGAGTGCTTCAAAGAGCCCGTGTTGCGGATCCTGCCGCAAGTGACATCTCCGTTCCGTGCTTGCGAGGTTCCGGAGTAAGCTTGGAGGGTGCCTGGCCTTGAACGGCGTCCCGTACTGCGTCCCAAGGCCTGCTTCCCTCCCCTCATCTGCCTTGAATAGCCCCGCTTCTCCAGTCTTGAACGGATACAGTTGTTCTTGCCAGATCTGGGAAATGTGCGTGGGAAGCTGGGTAGCGAAGCGGTTCGTCTTCTGTGCGGCAAGAGGGAGTGGATGGACTGGTGGCGGGCAGCTTGATGAACAGGGTGCATGCAGAAAGGCAGCGGTGTCCGGACGGCCACCGCGAGATCTCAGACACCAACCCCTCTTGGTACTCACTCGTCAAAAGCAGTTCTTCGTGCCTCTCTCAAAAAGGCACCATTATAAACAACACCATGGGCAGAGACTCATCCCCCACCACCACCACCGCCAGCAAACGCAAGAAGAGCAGTCACTCGGACAGGGACAGGCATCATCACGACAAGGACTCGTCCGATCGCAAGAGGTCAAGGAAATCATCATCCTCATCCCATTCACATTCCAAAGGCAGTCGGCATCCGGACTCGGCGTCCGAAGACGAAGGCGGCGACCGAGAGGACTACTCCGGCTACGCGACGGCTCGTCGCGGGAAACCCGTCATAGGACGAGACGACTACTTTGCCAAGGCCACAGAGTTCCAGACATGGTTGAGGATCGATAAGAAAAGGTACTTCAACGACCTGTCGGGCGACGACGCGAGATCCTACTTTGACAAGGTGCGGATGCGCGAAGCGGTCGGACGGTTTGCTGGGAGGAGGAAAACCCTGTGGGATTGACAGTTATCTGTTGGACAGTTTGCGAAGCGATGGAACAGAGGAAAACTTGAACGACGGTACTATGACGGGATCGCGACGTCGGACGTACCAGCTTCCGAACGCACTCGACATCAGTGGAAGTTCAAGAACCTGGTAAATGTTCACGAATACCGGCCCCGAACCTGCTGTTTGCCGTCGGGCTGACTTGAGATGGTAAACCGTCATCCTTTGACAGGACGAAGGAGAGATGACGGCAGCTCAGGACTCCGTACACGCCATGACTCAATCCTCCATCCATCTCGCGAGACCCATGACCCGGGAGGAGATCAAACGAGGTCCGCAGCTTCGCAACCCGCTGGATCAGGATGCGGAACTCGACCGACGGGAAAAGGACAGGCTCGCGAGACGGTTGGACAACAAGAAGGCACGAGCCCACCACGAGATGGTGCTGGAAGAGCTCGTGCCGAAAGCCACCGGCCGGTAATCACATCACCTTCCATCGCGTCGAGCCACCCCTCCGCCATGACAGGCAAGCCCCAACACCAGATGCCCATGTCGTACTTACATCTGTTTCGTTTTCTTCCCACCGTTACGTAGGGAAGCGCAACTGGAAAAGAAACGAGCTGGGAACCAGAACCGTCACGACCGTCAGGATCACGACTTTGAGATGCCGGACGCGGACCTCATGGGATCGGGTCCGAGCGGACCTTCGGGAGAACCCGCGAGTCTGGCCGCCTACAAGCAGGGTCAGGAACGACGGAACGAACGACGCAACGTGGTTCAGGGCGAGAAGGCGTTGGCCATGGCGGGGAAGGTGGCTGCGTATCAGGCGAAGGAGGATCAGACCCTGGCCATGTTCAGACAGATGGCACAGAACAGGTTCGGTGGTGGAGGAGCTTGACGGATATTGGTAACCAAATGAAATACACAAAAACAAACCATGGCTTCTCCTTCCTATCTCGTGATTTCTGCGGGGAGGGGGCGGTGTACGCATCACGCTTCCGAAAGTAATCCCCCGCTTTCCAATCACTCGTAGGTATCCTACAGATTCCCACTCCGGCAGGATGAGCTCGTCCACGGCCCAATCCTCCCATGATCCGTCCGGCATGTACCTCCTGACCATGAGCGGGATCCTCCGTTGGTCATGTACTGTATTGCGGTCTGTCCAAAAAAATGCACAATCGGGGCAAAAAGTTTAGCGACACCAGCAGGATTTGAACCTGCGCGGGCATAGCCCATTGGATTTCAAGTCCAACGCCTTAGACCACTCGGCCATGGTGTCAGGATTGTTCGAAACCAGAGTTTAACGGTATCATATCCCATACAACTAATGCATGGACAGATGTTGGGATTTCCGTTCAAGACGTCGAAGGGACTGAACCACTCTCCAGCCCAGCCTATGGGCGGGAACAAGCGATAGCGGTAGAAATGATGGCTCGGAGCCAGGAAGAGGCGGGGCTCTGAGGAACGGTACAATTGTAGGGTACTCCCCTGCCGAGAGCGTCTTCTTGGTCTTGCCGGGGGGCAGCCGGTACTCAGGTACCACGATAAGTGCTTTCTTGCAAACCTCGGTGGAGCGCCCGCCCGTATTGTTCGAAGAAGCCATTAGGTAGGTTTGTGAAAAATCAGGCTGCTTGGAGAATCTATTCGAGATCGAGGTTGGAAGATCAGGAGCGGAGCGCGGAACTCGAAGGCAAAGGAAGAAGACGTTGGGAAGGGTTCTACAAGGTCGTTCCTCGCGAGAGGGATGTCTGGGCTTAGAGGAAGGGTAGGTGGGTCCGCCGCGCTTGAGAATCATGTACCCCTGAGTCATGACTCATGAGTGGCCACCGACAGCTGCCCAGCAGCACAAGCTTTGTGGTTCTGAATACCGGTATGATAGAGTGCTACTGTATTATCGAGCTCCTTGATTTCAGCTGTGGACATCTTGGATGTTCTTTTGTTATTTACGCATCCAGCGGGGGAGTTCGGAAAAAGGGGCAGACAAAGGTTTCCGAGGCAGGAAAGATGTGAAAAGGAAGGACGGAACACGAACGAAAAAAAAAAAAAAAAAGAAAAACGAGCAAACAAGCAAAAAGACAACAAAAAGGGATAACAAAGAAAAAGGCGTATGTGCGGGGTTCGTGAATGTCTATATATATGTGTGTGTGCGTATGTGTGGGTACCTGTGTACAAAGGGCGTAAGGGGCAAAAGACGGGACAGTTCAAACTTCATGAAAAGTAGAGAACGGGCATGGAGAATCACCGCCTTCTCTTCTTTTCAAGTGACGACGATGTCCGACACCGGGATGATAGCTCGTCTCGAGTTGTTCGTCGTCCTGCTTCCCCTTCGACCGACATTGACAGAGGACCATTCCGAAGAGCTGTCACAATGGGGTGGCGCAGCACTTGCATGTACTGTACGCTCAGCGTCCAGGGAACTTCCCCTCTTCCCCC